AGGCTCGTGCGCGTCCGCCTTGCGGAAAAAGGCGTCTGACTTGACGTAGAGCGGGAGGTTGCAGTAGTCACCTGCGAGGGGAAGCGGAGGTGGGCGAGATGTTAAAATGCGGCAGGCGACACAAAAATACACGTCGTGCAATCGCGTCTGGGGCGGGTCAGGCTCAAGCACTGAGGGTTTGGTACCAAGTGTGAGGATGCGCAATAACAAATGTACTCGCCGAGGCTGGTGCTGGTGGGATGACTTGGCTAGAGGGGTTGCACGGTAACGTCCAGTGCGATAGATCCTACTATGGACTAGATCATCCCAGACTGTAAGATATTCTAATAGAATTGCATATATTCTAATACGTTCCAATAGATTATGACAGATCTGACTAGATCTGAATATACAGTGCTGGGGTGTGCCAGATTTCCCCCCATTTATTTATCCAGATTAGGTTGAATGCTTGACATTAGATTAAGAATTGTACTTAGTTCTGGTAGGATCTGAGACCAGGTCATGCAATCCGGACAAAACCAGCACAATAACTTGTATCTCACAAAATACATTAAAAGCCAGCACAAGCTCCAGCTCAAGCTATTAAATATTGATACATTGATATATTAATATATATTCAAATGACATTTAAATATATTTAAATCATGGAGGATCTGCAGAAATTATTGGAATGTATTCAAGCATAAACAATCATATCAGGATCTGGCATCATCTCACTCAATACAGATGAATAAATACTGAAAAATATCTGGCAAAACTGGCAAAGACTTTTGGCGTGGTGCCAAGGTGATGGCAAAGCTGCCACATCTTTGCATAACCAGCTGAATCTGGCACCTGCCAAAACCAGAAAAGCTGGGTTAAAAAAATCTGGCAAAATTTGGCAAATCCAGCAACTCCATCACATCCGGCAAAATCTTAGCGTGGTGCCAAGGTAAAGTCAAAACTGTTTCTTTAGTTTGAATGACAGAAGCTTGTACCCACACAGACACAGGCAGAAATAATCAAAATGTATTCAAATCCATCTGAATTATAATGGCAGCTTTGCCACGTTAGTTCCCGTGAAGACATTTTGCCACTTTCTGCCACATTCTGCACGCCTGTGCCAGCCATGAATTACATTTTACATGAAGATTTTGCTGCATTGGTCCTCATTTATTTATCTATCCACTTTTTGTCCCCTTGTGCCAGGATGTGGCTGTGTACTCTTGAGTATCTGTCAGTACGTTCTGCCAGACCGTGTCCAATTCGAATATATTTGAATACAATTGCATATATTTGAATATATTGTAATATTGGGCTCTAGTTGGCGTGTTTGCGCTGGCTTCACCCTGGTTGTGGATGTGTGTGTGTGTGTGTGTGTGCACCAGCTTCTGGCTCTCGATTCAACTTGGCAAGATAACAAGAGATTTTTGCTGGATTTGCCGGGATTTGCCGGATTTATTTATCCAGATTGATTCAGGTGGTGCCTAATCCTAAAATGACTGTGTGTATTTGAATACCTGTCAATAGAGTGTGCCAGATCCTTCTGCTCTTGAATACATTATCACATTGGAATACATTAACATATTTGAATACAGCAGTACATGTGACCAGAGTGTGGCTGTTCCTTCACAGCTGTGCCATCTTGGAATCAAATTTTT